TTTCCAAAGAATTCTATAGATTTTAAAGAAAGAATTAAAAGAGGAGCTTATCGTCCAATTCTGCCCCTATATCCTTGTACTCTACAAAATGGTAGAAAACGATCATTTTATAAGCAATGGTATAATGATCATTACTGGCTTAAATATAGTCCTTCTTTAGATTTGGCATTCTGTTTTCCATGCAGAGCATATATAGGAAATGAGGTAAATAGTAGTCGGACTGAAGAAACATTTTCAAAAAATGGGTTTAAAGGCTGGTATAGAGCAAATAAAAGTTTTTTAAATCATAAACTCTCCAAATCTCATCTTAATTCTACTATAGCTTTATCTGCATTTTTAAACTCAAAACCAATTGATCAAAGCCTTGATGAAAGCAGAATTGTTTTAAATAAGAAACGGGAAGAAGAACGCTTGAAACATAGAAAAATTATCGCACGTTTAATAGATATTTCTATATGTTTGGCTAAAGGTGGAATGGCATTCCGTGGACATGATGAAAGTCACAAAAGTTATCAGCAAGGAAATTTTAAAGAATTAGTAAATCTTTTAGCAAAGTATGATACTACTTTAAAAAATCATTTAGTAATGGGACCTAAAAATGCACAGTATGTCAGTAATCATATTCAAAATGATCTTATTTTTGTATTACATAACGTTGTGTTCAAACAAATAWAATCTAGTATAAATGATTGCAAAATATCAATTATAGCAAACGAAACATCTGATGTAGGACACCATGAGCAGTTATCTATAGTCATAAGACATTTTGATAAACAAACAAATAGACCAATAGAAACTTTTGTTGCACTTAGGCGAATGAAATCAGTTGATGCTCAATCTATATTTGATGCAATAACAAGTGTATTACTTCAATTATCAAAAAACTGGACATCTGTAATATCAGTCTGTTTTGATGGTGCAAGTACCATGTCTGGTKGCAAAGTGCAAAGTTGAGAGTAAAAATATTCTATATGTCCACTGCTATGCTCACTGTTTAAATTTGGCCCTAGTGGACTCTGTATGTGAAAAGGATAATAGATTCAAAAATAATAGATGTATATTCAATTTTTTTGGTACAATACAATTTATTTATAGTTTTATCGAAKGTAGTCCTACAAGGCATGCCATCTTAGAAAAAATAATTGCAGCATCATTSGGTCAGAAATTTGCTACCTTGAAATCATTATCTACTACAAGATGGGCTTGTAGGGCCGAAGCAGTAACTTCTGTTAAAAACCATTATGCATCTATT